ATCTGCGAGACCGCCATCGAGGTGTTGAGCTGCCTGAAAACTGAAGGGTTGAGCGCGGTGAGGCGCGGGCGCCGTGTTTGCAGAGCCGTCCCGCTCCGGGCGACTCGGCTTGATCATTAACCACGACGGATGTGGCTTTGCCAGGACAAGGGGTAAACGCCGGGGTTGCTGCCCGTCCTGTCCCACCAAGCTGGGAACAACTCCCCTGCATGCAAGAAAAACACCCAAAGGGACCGTGGTAGCAGAGGGAAGGGGTGCTCAGCTCTGCCCCGGATACCCCGACCCCAAAAAGGAGGGATTTAACCCCAGCACGATGCAAAGGCAGGCTGGCTGCCCTCAGGAGCTGCTGCTGCACAACGCAGCTGGGGAAGGCGAGGGGTTTTGCTCCGCTCTATTTAATCGTGCAAGGAGCTGGGAGAGGATCCCAGGGCAGGGGACGGGCCCGCCGGCACCGCAACCTCGCCTGCCCCGGCTCAGAAACGGATCCCTTCCCTTGGCAGAAATCCAGCCAGCATATCCACTCTGGCTTCTTCCCCGCTCAGCTTTAAAGTATTTATGAATATAAATTCTCTGTATAACTGGGTCAGGAGGAGAAGCGAGAGGCTGACGGTAGCCGGGAGCATGGTCTCTCCCGCTGTGCCCTGTTTTCCAGGGCAGCTCCGTGTTCCTGACTTGCGACGGAGGAAGAAACCGCCGAATTTTTAAGCCATCTAAAAATTCCTGGAGGAGGCGGCGAGAGAAGCAAACATGGGCAGGGGCCTCCAGTCCTCCCTGGAGGTATTTCAGTGAGGGGAAATGAGTATTTAGAAAGAGGTACAGCCCCATCTTCTGCTTCAGGGGGATAGAAAGGATCTGGGTAATGCATACGATTAACATGATTGTACCAAAAAGAAATAAAAACATATTCCAGAGCAGCACCACTCTGAAAACAACACTCTGCATTGCTCAGGTGGGCTAAAACCAGCCACGTTCCTTAAATACTTTCCTACAACCGCCTCTACAGAGCATCAACAGGGGAATCCGGCTGAGAAATGACCTCAGAAATCTCATCGGAGGAGGAGGAGGAAGAAGGACCTGAGGCTCCAACCTCACCCGAGCCAGAACTCCATTCCTGACCAAAGAGTGAAACTATTGCTCAAGAGCCCCGGGGCGAGCGGGAGGGACCTGCCGCCTCCTCACCTGACTCCGACAGCTTCAGCTCGCAGTCCAGGTAGTCGAACAGCTCGACCGTCAGCTGGAAGCTGCCAAAAAAAACCAAAACCCCATCACCCGGTGGCAGAGACATCCTTGCCCCGGCTGCTCATGTTCTAAGCAAGGGCTCAGATAGACAAGAATTTGGCGGTTTTGCTCCCTGCATTTACGCTCCTCACCGCTCTACCGGTGCAGGAGGAATCAGGCACCATCCAAACACTTTATACAACATGGCTGCCCTGAACAGGAGCCTTTTCGTTGGCTGGATGCTGCCAGCCCGGGTGGCACGGAGCTGGCAACCATGCACCGGTTGCTTTGCCCCTGCCGGAACACTCACATGTTGTTCACGTCCGTCCCCGCGGTCTTTTCCAGCACTTCATCTGACACTTCGAGGCCTGGGGGGAACTCGGGATGCTTTGTAAAAGGAAAAAAAAAAAAAAAACCAACAGTAGTTGCTGCTAATATTTTTGCTGATGCAACACAACCCCCGGTGAAGCCCTGTACCCCGGCACGGCAGGGTGCGGAGGTGGCAGTCTCTCACCTTGATGTGGAAGGAGATCTTGGTGAGGAGGAGCCGCGTGTAGATGCTCACCAGCTGCCCATACCTGTCGTGCAAATGGCCCTGCCGGAGACACGAGGCGAATTGTGGCAAATCCGGAGCAATGCAACCGGATCCAGCACGTGCCAGTGAACCCGCGCCAGCCCTACGGCTCTCGCCCTTCACCGCGTAACCATCACCCAGCGGGGTCAGAGGCGATGGGTTATTTCAGGTGGTGCTTTGCCCTCCCCGTGCCCACGATGTTTTTCAGCACCCACCCCAAAACCCCCAGGAAGGCACCTCCACTTCACCCCACTCACCCACAGGTCTCCCGTCTCTCGGATGTTGCTGCGGTACCTCTGGCAGTCCTGGAGGACCTAGGGATAAAAACAGGAGGGATGTGGCGTGGTGGGGCTGGCACGAGCTGGGGGAGCACCTGCCTGCCTGCCATGGAGCTGGGGAAGGAGATGGACCCAGCCCCTTACACCATTCCAGCTTTGGGAGAAGTTGTTCAAGCCCTTCAATGGCAACCAGAGGTTGGGGCTTTGCACGGGGAGGTTTCAAAGATGCGAGATAACAGCCCCACGGCCTGGGAATGGTGGCCGGGGCAGGGAAGGAAACCCACCCCCTGCGCAGAGGGACGTCGGCAAGAGCCAAGAATCTCCCCCTGCCAGGAATGCAGGAGGGACGTGTCAGAGGGGACACTCACGTTGGGGTGGCCGTCGCGCAGGACCTTGTGCAGGACGTGGCAGAACTTCCAGCTGAGGATGGCGCTGCTGGGCAGGGGCAGCCCGATGGCGTAGGACCAGAAGGTGAACGCTCCCTTCTCGTGGTGTGTCCCCAGGATGATCCCTTCCCTGCGGTCAAGGCCAACCGGAGACACACGGGAGCAGGGGACAGGCGGGGCTGGGGACTATTCCTGTTCAACTTTCATTAAAAAGGGAACAGGCACCAAGTGTACCGCAGGCACCGAGTGTACCGCAGGCACCGAGATCATCGGCGCGATGCTGCACCCACAGATAAAACCCCCATTTATTTTTTTTCTGGTGCACCTTCCCCTGCTGCAGGGCACGCCGGGACCCTTTGCATTTTATTGCCAAAGAAATGCTATTTTATTGCACTGCCCTTCTTTGCATTTTCACTGATGGACGATCCTACATGATGCCATCCCCCAACCAAGCTCTGCACAGGTCTCCCATCTCCCAAACCTCCGGTGGCCCCAGCCCCACAAGGTGAAACCCTCCTGCCTCAGCACAGGATCTCCTCCGTGCCGTCCAGGTAAGCCGGGGGAAAGGATACGACGGGCATGTTTCTCCTTCACCGGTGCTTCTTGCGTATTTATGGCTTTGCTGATGCTGATGGCCTGCGAGAGGAGGAGAGAGCGGCCGGCCGCCGCAAACGACCCTCGCGGTCCCCAACCCACATCCCCCCAAAGCGAAGAGCTGGGTGCGCTGCCAGCTGGGAACGGCCTGGCCACCCGGCGCTTTTGGGGAATACCCTGAATTTTGTAACACATTTGTCACCTTAAAGCCATTCCTGACACATCAAAATAGGCTTTTTTATCCATGATCAAAGCGGACCATTAAAACCCCAGCGCGATCGGTCGGCGCCGGGGCACTACCGGCGCTCAGCTGCTGCTGCTCCCTGCTGTCCCCATCCCAGGAAACAAACGGCATTTTTGCAGCCTGAACTCAGCGCCGTGCCCAGGGAGCATTAAAGCACGACAGCGAGATGCCAAATTCCAGGGTTGTTTCTCTAATCACAAGGAGCCTTTGAACCAGGGGGTGGTGGGGGTTTTTTTTCTGACGCCGTTGCTGCGCGCAAACAGCACGTGGGGAAAAGGCAGGCCCCCAAGCAAGGAGGGAGCGGCGGCCGCCATGCCCATTTCAACGGAGCAAAAATCCAGAGTGACGTGATTATCAGAGGAGGATTATCTATATTTTAATGTGTTTGATCACAGCACACTTTAAATTACGGGTTTATTCCAAAAGATGACCCCAGACAGGGGTCGGTTACGTCTCCAGCGTGATGACGGGCTGCAAAACTAAGTTGCTGCGATCGATGGGGATCTTCCTCCTCCTCCCCAAGTCCCTGCAGACTCAACTGAGCTGCTTCGCCCTCGCACAAGCCCTCGGTCACCAGCAGAGGAAAAAGGTCCCCGCTGGGAAGGCAGGAAGCGGCCCCGCCACCAGCACTCGTGCCGGAAGAGAAACCCAGTCCCTCCCTGCAGCCCCACAAACCATAAAACCTTATAAAAATTTTATCTCCCCTCCCGGGGAAAGCACCTGCTTCAACACAGCCGCTTGTCCCGGGGACGCCTCCGAATCAAGGCGGTTTCCTGCAGGAGGAGGAACCCGACGCCGGGTTACCGAGTGCTCCTGACTTATGCAGGAGGAACCCGGCACCCTGCCAAAGGGGCGATGCTGCAGGTGTTAGTGCACCAAATCCACCCCCAATGAGCCCAAAATACTTGCGCCCACAAGCCGGGCACAACAGCGGCAAAAACGCTGTGAATGCATCCCAAAAAGCGAGCCAGCCCCGAAACGCTGAGCCCAGTCACTGGGAAAGGATGCCGGTTTTGCCTTTCCTGCACTGGGGGAAGCCCCGGCGTTACCCTGCCATGTGGGGCCATAAAGCAGCAGCAGAGTTAAGCCGGCGACTTGCTGTAATCCTCTTATCCCCAAAGGTTAACGAGCCTGGAGTGCCCGGGAACAGGCACTTGCAGCGCAGCTGCCTCACCCAAAGCACCCGGCACCTCCGCAGCCACCCGAAAGGCTGGAGCCGGCGGAGAGGCTGCGCCCTCGACCATGGCGAGGAGATGTGCCTTAGCTCCTCAGGGCTGCCAGCACCTCCCAGTACGACACCACAGTGATGGTTTATTGACAGAAAGCAGGGTTTATCATGTGCCAGAGAGCGACAAGCCGGCGGTTTTGCAAGGCAGGGCTTGGAAAAGCATCTTGCAGCGAAGAGCTGCTAAAGGGGTTATTGCATCTTATTGAGGTGCTTTGCATGGCAGGGGGGAGTGGGGCAGACATCTCCCAAACCTGGATTTTCGCCTCCCGCCGCGTGTGGGAGCAGCACGACGTGCTTGTCCCAACCC